CTTTGGCAAAATTTGATGCCCACGCCATTCCGAAATCGCAGGAGGGTCGGTGTAATGCACTACCAAAACGCCCGTAACTAAGAAACAAATGCTAATTCGATGATGCCGGCTGGCACACTGATTCACTATGAATGTAGGCCGCACCCCCTAGCGGCAGAAGCTCGTACTACATTCGGTTCGCCCTCTATTAACACAGTCTTGAAACTTTCCGATCGCACCTCGTATACTTCAATGGAGTAAACTCATCACGTTACTTGTGACTGGCCTTGATAGTATCTGCTCTAATGAATGGTTACGTTTTGGAGAGCTTGTAAAGCGAGTCGCAGTTTCCTATAAGCGCAATTTTATAACTGTCGGTTGTATTTCCAATCAACCGAAAGATGACCAAAAGCTAAAGAAATCAATAATTTTATTGCCTATAAGGAAACATACAAGTAACGGAAACGTATTATATTATGAAATATGCTATTAAATACGAACAGTTACAAATACTTCCTCTGAATCAGTGTTTCTCAGCCGGTGGACCGAAAGTTGTGCTTAAAGGGTACGCGACTTGAGTAGATCGTACTCAGTAGAATATAAAGCAGTAAGTTTTAAGAGTGAAAACATGACGACAAACCTATACCGTCCATATTTGTTTCATTAGAATGTAATATTTCAATTAAAATGCATGAGGCAATTTTGGGAAGGGGTCAGAGGTACTAGAAAGATTTAAAGACCCTGCTACATATATCAATGGGGAAATATGCAAGCTTCTTGCTTTCATTCTCTTTTCTCTCGCGTCTTCATATCGCGTGTTCGATTTTGTTCTGAAGATTTCGGATGAGCGAATTCGCTTTAGGAAGACGAGCTAAGCGGAGGTTATGCGCTTTGTTATAAAAGTTCGTATGACGGGAATTCCGTAATATGATTCTTCGTAAAGCGATAACTCGATTATCACACCACAAAAACCTAGCCGGATAAAGCCAGACTTATTTGCCTTTCATCTCGTTAAATAATCTCCTCGTTCAAATTATTTCAAAAAGAGGTCGTAGAACCCGATATTCTTTACAATTTATATAATATGTTCTATAGAGTGAGATATATTTCATAACACGATTCTTGTACATAGGCCTATTTCCTTCTAGACCAGTCTGCAGATTCCTGAAAGCACATAAATCTTGACGATGCTGTTGGTCTTAGTTGTGATGCGGTACTGTCTCATAGGTAGATACCAACATTTCGAAGAAGCATACTGTTTCCTTCTTCAGGGTGAAGTTCCCTCAGCCGTGAAGATGGGGACAGAGTGTTTGGCTAGACGTTGGCATCTACCGTTAAGTCCACACGGTGTTACATCCCAGAGGAAGAACTTCGTCATCTTCACCGTCGTTAGAATCTCAGATCTCACGCAGAAACCTTAATGGGTATAAATTTCCCTCTGAGACTCCTCTGTCCCTTTCATTTCCGAATTAAAAGAGGCTTGTGAGTCGGCTAACCTGCTCGGTAGTTCCTTGAAAAATAGTTCAGGAAGGAATGCGGTAAGTCGCAATGAAGACTATGTCGATGACAGGACGTGACAAATCGGTTTGTCAGTTTGCTCTGCACCTGCAAGGATAGCAACCGGTATGATACTGGGTCGTTGCTGGACAGGATTTTAAAGAGGCCGTTTTTTGCTTTTCTCTGCTTGTTTTCTGATCGTGTCTTGATTGAAGTTACTCCTAGCGTCTGCATCACTGATCAAGCTTCACATAAATGTGACAAAGTCGGGATTTATTCTTCTGCCAAGAACCGAGAAAGAACCCCCATCCCATACTTTCCTTTCGTATGCTGAGACTTGCAAGAGCTATTGACTCACGTTTAGTGATCCACTTCTGTTCTTTTTATCGGTACGGATTCCGACTACGTCATATTTGCCAGATATATTCTCAAGATTCTTCGCTATGTTTGAAATCGTTACCATATAAAAGTTTTATACAGAACATTTATAAATGTATTTATAATGTATCTGCCATACATACTATCACATGTACAGCTTCAGTGGTTCATTAGCACTATCAGACAACTACATATAGTTTTCACGTGGCCTCCATGTTTTTTTATATATCACATGCCAATAAATGTTTTTATTTCCATAGAAAATTCTAGATACTCTAACTTAAATGTCGTTATCGCCTCAAAGTTCGCATGGATTCCATGTTTCTATTCTTAATGGTAGAGAATTTAAAAGCATACTATTTTAGTGTTCTCTATTGGCATATAGTTCACACCGATTGTCATGGAAATCTATAAATTGGTTCAAAATTCATAACGGAGACAGACATGCCATACGCATGCAAATAAACCTACATTTTCTTAGCCCTAAAACTCTGCTGCGGACACAAATGAAATTTTGTACCATTAGCCATACGTCGCTGAAGGTTTATGAGAATTCGATCTGTGTAATAAAATGATAAATTAGTAAGAAGAATAAAACCTCATAAGAATATTTGTACAGATATGTGTGGAAAAGTTTAAATATCGAATCCGCTCCGGGAGTGGATGCATGTCTCTATATTGGGTTATCTCCACAGAAAAAGAACAGTGCTACCAAATATATGAACGACTCACTCCTCGAGATTAATTCTAAATCGAAGAAAGCCTATGTATCTAATCCGTGGATCTTGAAGAGAGATGTCAGCAGAATTGCTAACAGCATAATCTCCAAATTCAGACATGTGGCTTTGAAACTAGCAGGAGGTAAAATGCGCCAGGGTGCGAAGTCTTCAAGGTCGATTCTTTTTGTTATTTGTTTATGTTGTTTTCGGGAGGCACGAGACTCGACTGAGAATCTGAAGATAGGTACATGAGCAGCAGTCTGTGCTCTGTGAGGTCACATGATCATCGACCCTTGAACGGGGCCGTCGACACCGAATCACACGGTGGCGAAGAACGCGACGTGTCCGCGCGAAGAAACAGGCAGGTAGCGTTACATGTGTTAATGGTTACGTTAAGCCCATACCAAATGCTTTAATAACAGAGCAGCGCCCCCACTGAGGGACATTCCTAACATGTATAGATTCTGCGTAGACACTACTTATAGGATTGCTAGATTTTTCTATGTAATTATAGTCGAGGGAAAAATGTTTGAAAATGCATAAAAATTCTGATTGAAAATACAAGAAAGGAAAAGCTGACTCAGTTACAGGACTACTGCTGTTCGAATATACATATTTTCTAAATGCGTATTGGTGTGAAACCTGGTTTCTTATTCTGAGTGAAGAATATATAATGAATTTCAAAAGAGTGAGTAACGAAGAAAATACGATTAAAAAGGACGCAGTCAGTTGTCTTAATTTTCGTTATTTTCGTCTGGAATTTCCGAACCTGATTTATATTTAAACGAAATTGCAACTCAACTATTGACCCTTTTTTTTTCTTGCGACATTCAGGTGGCTATGATACAACTGTATCCCGTCTTCTTTCTCTAGGCGCCAGTATTTTTTATATGAGGTTGTTGCTATGGAAACAAGATACGTTCCGGCTCTTTGTTATTCTTTACATCTCGGGACAAAATTCCGCATGCTGTATCCGTTGCATAACTATGTTTACGAGATTCATGAAAAGAAACAGTTTCTTCTCTCACATTCCGAAGTGTACACGACTTTGAGTGGAATTTCGTATTAAATATGTCAAATTCACAACATTTTAGTTTCATTTTCTGAAACTTACCTTTGCTGCGTGACAAGAATCTATAGCAAATTGATGCTTTATGCGTCATATGCACTCAGTATGTCAAGTAAATCACAATAGGGAGGCCATGTTCATTATATTCGTTACTTTGCTTTAAATCGCTTAATGGATATTAATTAAACTTATTGTAGGGCTGTAGTGCGAATTTCAACATGGCCCCAACTGACCATTACAACTTCTACTTTATATCTTGGCGTAACTCAATAGAATTCTATTAGATTATTTTTTCCTCTCATCGTGCTAAAATATATGTATATAGAATAGAATAAAATTCTTATTAACCCGTTTATATGTGCTTACATTTTGTATTTTCGCACCAGAATTATTAGGTCTATTTATT